CAAATAAATAAATAAACATTCATGAATGTAAAACAAAAAAGAATGTGATGGGTTGGAGCCAGACTTAGTCATGCGTAGAGCAGAATCATTAAAACCAATAGAGCAGATTAGTAATGACTAAGATGCTATTGGTACAAAAATAGTAGTATATTGTTGCCATAATCCCACCTTCACTGGAGGAATGGGAAAATACTTGAGAGTATAATTCATCCTGGCCACTGATTAGCAACAACCCTCTTGACTCTGGCCTCCACTGTTCTCTGTCCACAGGCCATCACTGCTGGTTTCTTCTATCACACGGCCCGTCTTACCCGCAGCGGTTACAAGACAGTCAAGCACCAGCAGACCGTGTTTGTCCACCCAAACAGTTCCCTATTTGAAGAACAGCCACGGTGGCTCATCTATCATGAGCTGGTCTTCACAACGAAAGAATTCATGAGACAGGTTCGTTTTGCGGGCTTTTGAGGGTCTTTTGGGCAAACATTCATATTCATATCCTGAGGGGATTCAGATGTAGCTAGGTATTTTGGAGACAGCATGGTAGCAAAGAAACCAGTGTTGTGTGGGATAGATACAGTTCAGTCATATTTGGCCCTGAGAGATCCAAGAGCTGAGCTTTTCATTCAAGCAGCAAAATAATATGAGGGACAGCAAGTTGCATCTACAATGAGGAAGCATTGGTGATGTTTCAAAATTTTAATTTCTTTTAACCCTTTTTATCAAATAGACTCTAGCTCAGGGATGGGAAAACTTTGCCCTCCACATGTTTTTGACTTCAACTCTCACAATTCCTAACAGTCGGTAGGCTGTTAGGAATTGTGGGAGTTAAAGTCCAAAACACCTGGAGGACCCAAGTTTGCTCATGCCTAGTGTAGAAGCACACTATGAACCCCCAGCAGCTAACAATATCCTAAGTCCATCTTAGGATCTTGTAACTGTATGACACAGGCATAGGCAAACTTTGGCCCTCCAGGTGTTTTGAACTTCAACTCCCACAATTCCTAACAGCCTACCAACTGTTAGGAATTGTGGGAGTTGGAAGTCCAAAACACCTGGAGGGCCAAAGTTTGCCCATGCCTACTCTAGCTGTATTTTAATCTGTTGTTAGCCACTTCCGTTCCCTCAGAAAAAGGTGGAATATTACATTTAATGCATCCTTCACGTTATTGGAATTCAACCCCACAGTGCCCAAGTCTCAAGTCCTCAATGAGGAACAGTTTGGTTAGCTTAGAATAGTCTGTAGGTTTCCCTTCCCTAATATCTCCTGTATGACAGTGGGAATGTATCTATTTTGTTCTCTTTCTCTTTTTCTACTCTCATTGTGATAAATTGTGTAGAATGGATACTTTTCTTGTGCAAGCCTTTCCTTTGAATTTAGCTTCTTCCATTTGAGTGTGTGTTGTGTTCTTTGAGATCTCTTTCAGCGTGTGTGTCAGAAAGATGTAGTGATTGGTTTTTTCCCCCTTCTCTTTGAAATCTTAGAAGAGATGGGTGTTAGAGTAGCTCAGACCCAGTTCTTGATTATTAAGAAATGCAGTTATTTCTTATTGTTGTAAATAAACCTTTTGTGAATTTTAAGATTGGACTCTGTATCTTTGCCTATCTAATCTCTGAATTTTTTACAGCCACATCACACGGCATTTCATGCTCTGCTCGCTAATGAGCTGATGCTCAACTTTAAGTATCCTGTTTGATTTTGGATGCTCTGCTGTATATTTTAGGGTAGTTTTCCCTAACACTTGTTAAGCCCATAGTACAGTCTCTTCTCTTCCTTGTAGGTCATAGAGATAGACAGCACGTGGTTGCTGGAGGTGGCCCCTCACTACTACAAGTCCAAGGAGCTGGAAGATGCCTCTACCAAGAAGCTGCCCAAGAAAATAGGGAAGACGCGAGAGGAGCTTGGATAAGACTGGAGCTGATCTCTTATCTCCCACCCATTTTGTTTATTGCCCCAGGACTTTTTTTCCATACATCTGTACAGTTTTGATGTCACTTCAGACACCAAATAAAACTTTTTTACAAACTCTTCTGAATCATTTCCTCTCTGTCTCATCCTATATGGGTCTTGCCTAGTTGAAAGAGGAATAGCAGTTGTCTTTTTAAAAAAATCAATGCGGATACTTGCCTTTGACACTTTTAAAATTGTTATAGTTTTTACTTACTTGTGACTGGCTGTATTAATATTATTAAAGCTTATGCTTGTAATCAGAAACGTAAAATGTACATGCTGTTAGCTGCTGAGTACTTGAAGTTTTAAGACAGGTTCTGCACAGACACAGAACCACCCATATCCAAGTCACAGGGGCCACAAAGAATATCTTAAAATTTCTTGATCCATTGCTCTGTTGTGTATCAGAACAAACATTGAGATAATACATGGTTTTATGAAATGACAACACCACACACTTCCTACATTAATAGGAGTGTTTGCATCACCTTTTTATGCCTGCAGAATGGACTACAAGGGTGTATAAATTCTTACGTACGAAGGCACAATCCCTAAATGCACAGGAGAGCAGTTTAAGGGCTAGAGGTATTCCAGATCTCCCCCTACTTCTTACTAGCAGATGTAGCAAGAAGCATACCCGGTAGCCTACTGAGAATGGAGTGAATTTGGATTATATGGGGCCAGCTTCTCCTACGTCTAGAAGACTGACTCCCAACACCTGAGAAGACGCAAAGGAGATAGAAGAGACTGGCCCCATGTAATCCAAATTCACTCCATTCTCAACATGCTTCCAGAAAAAGGGACTGCTCCAGCAAGAAGGTAACAGCACTCCATGCAGTCATGCTGGCCACATGACCTTGGAGGTGTCTATAGACAGCGCCGACTCTTCGACTTAGAAATGGAGATGAGCACCACCTCCCAGAGTTGGACATGACTCAATGTCAAGGGGGAACCTTTACCTTTATATGTGCCCTTGATAGTCAAAGCTGTAATTCAGAAAACAGAAACCATTATCTCCCCTCTTCTCAACACATACAATTTTTAATAAGTTCTGAAAGACTGCCAAAATGTTATCTATCACTTGGCTGGCAGGTGAAAGGTTTTATAAGACAGAGACCTTTCCTCTTGAGCAGAAGCAGAGGGTTAGCTGAGAGTTAACCTAGTCCTTAAAGTGGTTGTAATCCAATACATCTTTTGAGAAGGCTGCAAGTTCACTCAAAACTACATTCAACATAAACCTCTCTTTATTATATACAGATTAAATTACAACCATCTTTACAGCGCTTCCTGGTGCGGTTAACAGCAGCGACATGAGGCGAAGCCCACACTATTTGTACAAAGGCAACATGGATGCACAACGGACTGCTAGTGGCGTTCTCCTTGTCACACCCCGCGATGTGACAGATTAGCTGTGAAAGATACGAGCAAGAGGACAGGACAACCAAAGGGCTTCAGCTCTCCCTACAGCCAACCGGTGCCCCTGGCTCTTTGCCTGCCAGAGCTGAGAAAAACAGCAGAAGTGACGGCCTCTGATCTGAAAGACTGAGGCCCAATAAGGACGCAAGGACAACCTTCTTCAGCTTGTTCATCAGAGGCTGGGACGGCATGAGCTGAAAGGAAAGAAAGCCCAGCGTTAGCCTGGTAGAGGGGAAAAAAGCAGTTCTGAGAAGATCCAAATAAAACTTGGGCAGATTTTTCAGGGCAGGAAGTGTTACCGCCTCCCCCGAACTAGTATGCATACACCAAAACTTACCTTGCTTACCCTGTGACACTTAATTAACCCTTCTGAATTGAGGAAGAATGTGGAATAGGCATCATAGGTTCTGGAAGGAGAATGTTAAAAACCAATACATCAGACAACCATTTTGATAACTTCTTCAAACCACTGCAATTACCCAATATAAAAACTGAATGCGTTACTTCATTTTAAAGGCTTGAACCATGGAGAAATGGATTGAAATTGCAATTAATTCCACCTAAACAATAGGAAGAACTGCCTGAGTCGCCTTCGGGCTGAGAAAGGCAGTATATAAATACGGCAAACATACATACAAACAAACACACAAACTCTTGATGGTAAGAGCTGTTTGACAGTGGAATATGTTGCCTCAGAGAATAGTGGTGTCTCCTCCTCTGGAGTTTTTTAAGCAGAAGCTAGAGATCTATCATTTGAGAGTGTTTTGAGTATTCCTGCATGACAAAATGGGGCCGGACTGGATTATCCTTGTGGTATTATCCAAATCTATGATTCTATAGAATCATATAGTTAGAAGAGACATCATGAGCCACCCAGTCCAACCCCCTGCCAAGAAGCAGGAAACTGCATTCAAAGCACCCCCAACAGATGGCCATCCAGACCTCAGAATCTCTGAGGAAGCCTGCCATAAATGCAGGCGAAACATCAGGAGAGAATGCTTCTGGAACATGGCCATACAGCCCGAAAAAACCTACAACAATCCAGTGATTCCGGCCATGAAAGCCTTCGACAATACATCCAGCCTCTGTTTAAAAGCTTCCAAAGAAGGGGCCTCCACCACACTCCAGGGGCAGAGAGTTCCACTTCTGAACAGCTCTCACAGTCAGGAAGTTCTTCCTAATGGTCAGGTGGAATCTCCCTTCCTGTAGTTTGAAGCCATTGCTCCACGTCCTAGTCTCCAGGGCAGCAAAAAAAAACAAGCCTGCTTTCTCCTCCCTCACACCTTTATACATGGCCATCATGTCTCCTCTCAGCCTTCTCTTCTGAATGCTAAATATGATCAGCTCTTTAAGCCACTCCTCATAGGGCTTGTTCTCCAGACCCTTGGTCATTTTAGTCGCTCTCCTCTGGACACATTCCAGCTTGTCAACACCTCCCTTCAATTGTGGTGCCTGTGTGTCTACTGACGCAACAATTAAATAACTGAAATACACTGATTTTCTTAGAATTATATATGGCTGCATAACCCTCGCCATGGAAAGCTAGTCCAAGAACAGTATTGTCCTGAAAGAATGCTGGTTGGCCTAATCTAAAGGAGTGCCGGTCAAAAACCAGCTCAACTTTATTTCCATTTCAGTGTAAGACAGAAGCACCACTTCTGAAAGTAAGGCTTATTAAATCTTTTCCACTCGCAACTCTTTTTGAGATTTTTTTTTGCAACCCTAGTTACATAAAAAAGGTGGAAAAATTCAAAACATTTACAGATAACTAATCAGCATTTGCTGATTTTGCTAAACAGGCTGATTTTCCCTTTTTATGAAATACAACTGAAGTATTTTCTGTAGGGTCCACTGTAAACACTGTAAGTTGTTGCTACCATATTCAGGCAAATGTCTAGGTGACATTCAAAAACATTTGATTTGCTTCTAATTTTTTTTTACAACCCCAACATTGAGCTAAGAGTCAGGGCCCACAGTTGAAGAAACAGTGTTCAGCAGGGCGGGAGAGAAAGGAGGCACCAGCAATGAGCGCAGATTAAGAATAAACAAGAACTCCTGAGAGAAGCCCTTACCTGTAAAGTTCACTCTTGTCCTTCTTGTAGAAGCGAAGGAGGAGAACATGGAACGGAAGCCCTGTAATTCGCCACCGGGCCTGGATGCTCCAGTTCTCTGGGTGCTGTGTCACATTGAGCACATCCATGCGCAAATCAGCAAAATAGTTCCAGGCCATAAAGCGGCAAAACGTCAGCGCCAACTGGTACATGGGTCGGCCACTGGCAACGGAAGCAGAAAGATGATGAATTGTTAGCTACAGGTGACAAATTCATATGCACCATCAACATGGCAGAATCTCCTTTTTCTAAAATATACTTAGATATACATGTACTCACATACACACACACACCACAACCTACACTATTGCATAACAATCTCACAATGGATTTCCCACACACTCTTGCAATACACACATTTATTGCCACAGTTCTTTTTTCCCCCCAAACAACATCACTCTAACAAGCTGATATAACTCATTTTAAATCATTTTTATATATTTTCATGCATTTTGTGGTTTTTATTATGTTTATGTGGTTGACTGGATAATGATGTTTATTTAATTATCAATTCTTTATTTTTCTGGTTTAATAACTATTACGTCATAATGATGTTATTTGTATTGTTTGATTTATGTGGTTTGCGTTATATCATGGCATTGAATGTTTGCCTTTTTTGTTTGTAAGCCGGCCTGAGTCCCCTTGAGGAGATAGATAAAGGTGAAGGGCTTCCCCTGACATTAAGTCTAGATGTGTCTGACTCTTGGGGTGGTGCTTATCTCCATTTCTAAGCCAAACAGCTAGCATTGTCTGTAGACACCTCCAAGGTCATGTGGCTGGCATGACTGCATGGAGTGCCATTACCTTCTCGCAGAAGTGTTACCTATTGATCTACTCACATTTGCATGCTTTCGAACTGCTAGGTTGGCAGAAGCTGAGGCTAACAGCAGGAGCTTACCCCGCTTCATGGATCTGAACTGCCAACAAGTTCAGGAAGTTCAGCAGCTCAGCGGTTTAACCCACTGTGCCACCGGGAAGATAGGGCGGCCTATAAATTAAGAATTATTATTATTTGATACACAATAAGATTAGTACACAGCATGCAAGATCACTATGCTGGCTGTTGTATTGGATCATACATTGGAGACTTCCCAAGTGTCTAGGACTATGTGATGTATCGGCGAAGAATGCATGCAGATCCAAGTAGGGTGGCCTTTTGCACCTGATGGTCATTATTATTATTATTTGTTATACATACACACATACAGTCTTCCATTCCAAGTAGGACATATCATATCCTCAGCTCCCTTCTTTCAAAAGATAGCTTCTATTCCCATCCAACCACAGGAGGTTTGTCCTGTCTAGGACTTGTCAGGATAACCAGTAATATTTATTACTCAAAATATGTATGTGCCACCTTCCATATCAAGCCTTGTCAAGTCACTGGCAACAAGTAATTTGCTATATATATATATCAGGATAGGCAAGTGTTGAAGGTTGGGGGGGGTGCAATTTTCACCCCACATCCTCCTGGAAGGTGGCTCTTTGTGTCTCAAAGTCAAGTCAATGTGTATATGAAAACCATCCGATTTCTATTTCTAACATATATTGGTGCTAACAGGATGTTTACTGTGCAGTTTACGCTAAATCTATAAAGAAGTGTTTTTACCCTAAGTGGTAGATAAATGCCATACTTGCCCATGACAGTCAATAGCTAAGGGCAGCACAACTCTTCATGCACATCACTAAGTAGATGACAAAGAACTAAATCCAACTACTAGTCCTAATTAGTGTAGGTCTAGCTGCTTTAAGTCCCCTTCGGGAAAGATAAGGCAGGGTATAAATAAATGTAATAATAATAATAATAATAATAGGTCCATTTGAATAAAGTGCTGAATGTTTAAAACAATGCTAACTAGTGGCTCTGCTCTAGTCAGGACTAGCAGCATGATTCAGGCCAAACTGTCATTAAATATTCAGAGGGTTTCCATAAAACCAAGCCCCCTCAAATTGTGGCCCTTCAGCTGTTTGGGCCTCCAATTCCCACAATTCCTCACCACTGAACAAGCTGGCTAGAACTTCTGGGAGTTGTAGGACCAAACAGCAGGAGAGTTGAGATTTGAGGAGGCATGCTCAAACTTTAGAAACCAAACAAACTCTTAGGAAGCCCTAGAACTACACAAAAATTTAGAACAGAGCACAAGGTACTCCCCTTTGCTAATTCCCAAAACTTACTGTGTTCTCAGATGTAGTATTTCATTGATAAACTCTACATCCTTGGAATAGATTGCATAGTCATGTGTCCTTAGGAAGAAGACTGGTAACTGGAAAGATAGAGAGGAGGGGAAAACAAGAATCCATGAACAGAGTGAAATTCCTGAACAAAGCTTCCCTTTATAAGAAATATTGGTGCCTTTTGCCCTGTAAGTCAGAAAGCAATTCAAACTCTCAGCTTTGTGTATGTAAAGTGAATCTTCAGAATCAGGTATTCTGAATTGGTTTTAGATATGCTATCAACACCAGGGCTATAGATATAGCCCCCAGTGGTGCAGCAAGTTAAACAGCTGACTGAAATGTTGCAGGTTTGAATCTGGGCAGTGCCGTGAGCTCCCACTATTAGATCCAGCTTCTGCCAACCTAGTAGTTTGACAAACATGTTAATGTGAGTAGATGAATAGATACCGCTTCTGTGGGAAAGTAACAGTGCTCCATGCAGTCATGCTGGCCACATGACCTTGGAGGTGTCTACAAACAATGCTGGCTCTTCGGGTTAGAAGAGTCAGACACAACTAGACTTAATGTCAATGGAAACCTTTACCTATCAACACTTAAATAAGGAAACGGCTAGGTTCCCGGGAGACTCATGTAAATCACTCAAACACTTTTGCGTAAGGATGGGACTTCACTCTGGCAAGGATGCTGTGCAGGAGTAGTCTGACTCTGAGAGCATCAAGATTTAGCTGTACCTCAAATTCTAGGCTAAGAAAGAAAAATCTCATTGTAGGAAACTCCTGACACACACAATTTTTTGCAATCACCTCTTCCTTTTTGTGATACCTCAATTCTGACAGGTTCTCTTTCCCTTTGGAGGAAAAATGGTGCTGTTACTCCAAATGAAGTGAATTGTCTCAATTCAGAGCCCACCCCGTGCTTTTCCTGACAAACATAATTGCTTCTCTGTGTGATCAAGATGCCAATGAAGGTTAAAGCAAGGGATTCAAAGACTCAAAAATATATTCTAAACAAGGTTACACTATATTCATTTCAACATCATACAAGGTCTTCTCTGGTAGTTTCAAGTCAAAGGGACAAGCCGAACGTTAGTATAGCTGTACAGACAAACAGCTATGGAAAATGAGAGAGGTGTCTCATCACATTTTCCATTTCATTTGCTAGCATTTGCTTAGCTTCAACCACCCCTACAAACACATAGCAAAATTCTAACACCTGCTTTTATCTATCTTACATTCTTCTCTTCAAAGATTTGCATTTAGCAAAAATCCCTGTGTGGATTCCAACATTATTTTCCCACTGACTTTGTATGAGCCCTGTGTTAACTTTAAACAGAGCAAGCATACAATTGACTGATCCAACTGCAGAGTTGTTATACATAGTAAACAAAAGAGTAAGATTGAAATTGCAGAGCGTTATATATAGTAAACAATGGAGTAAGGGTAAGATAAACGGCTAAACAGCATTATAAGAAGTGGCTCCTTGCAAAGCTGTGAAAGGGAAACCCCAATTAAATTAGTACACATAATTAAATCAACCGCAAAATTATGCTGGCAAGGTTGTGGAAAAATTGGCTCCTATATACATATGTGGTGGAAATGCGAAAGGTTTAAAAAATTCTATAATAAGGCAAAAGAAGGAAATGGAAAATTAATAGGGCATAAATTGGTATTGAATAAAAAAGAATTTTTCACACAGAAATTAGACAAGAACGAAAACATCAAAGCTTGGGGGATATAAAATACACGACAGATACCTAGCAGACTTTATGCTCCAGGACTACATCCTTGAAAGATGAGCCAAATATACATCATATTGAATCAAGAAGAATTGGGTTCTGAAATGGGGAAGATTGATAAAGTTGAAGGAAAAGAAAAATATAAAGAACTGAACCATACTCTTTATACGATTGTTCAATTAAAATAATATTTCAGTGAAGGCAAGTACTGTTCCCAGAGGGTGGGGGAAGGGTGTAAAATTGATAGACACAATTGGGAGATAAAGGTGGAATAGGCAAGGATAAGAGCACTAAGAAACTGTTTTTATCCTGGTCCTGCCCACTTTGTTCAATTTTTTGCTTTTAATTTTTATTTTAATTTCTCATATTGTCTCATATCCAGTGTTTTATCCTACTGTGTTATTTTTTTTCCTTTTACTGTCATATTTTATTTGAGTTATTATCTGCTGTTTTCATTTTATTGTGTTTATTTTATTTTTTTGGGCCTCATGTTAGCTGCCCCGAGTCCCTGAGGGGAGATGGTGGAGGGGTTTAATAATAGTAGTAGTAGTAGTAATAATAATAATAATAATAATAATAATAATAATAATAATAATAATAGAGATGTATTCTAAAATGGTGATTGATTGTGATATTATTCTACCTGTGTCTGCAATAACAATAAGTCATTCAATGGGTTTGGGATCATTCCTTCAACTCCTTTTTTTATTCCAGCTTTTTGGACCTTCAACACCAGCAAAAAAAAAAAAAAGCAAGCTTTGATGTAATTTCCCCAAATAAGGGGACTTAAACTCTGCAGTAGGTTAAACCACTGAGGTGCTGAACTTGCTGACTGAAAGGTTGGCGGTTCTAATCTGGGGAGCAGGATGAGCTCCCGCTGTTAGCCCCAGTTTCTGCCAACCTAGCAGTTTGAAAACATGCAAATGTGAATAGGTACCACTCTGGCGGGAAGGTAACAGCGCTCCATGCAGTCATGCTGGCCACATGACCTTGGAGGTGTCTACAGACAACGCTGGCTCTTCTGCTTAGAAATGGAGATGAGCACCACCCTCCAGAGTTGGACACGAGTAGACTTAATATCAGGGGAAAACCTTTACCTTACTTAACTATAGAATTAATAGCATTTCTATCCTACGTTTCTATAATTAGGGAAGCTTATATATAAAGGAAGCTGCGGCCTCATGCCAGACTGGAGTACATATCCCACAAGTTCGGTATGAGGTTTGGTAGCTGTTTCCTGGGGTCTTAGCCAGAGATTTCTACCATCCAGTTATTATCTGATCCTTTAAACTGGTAGAACACCTGCTAGGATAAAGCAGGTGTTCTACCTTTAATCTATACCTTGAGTCGCTGATTGGTTGAGAAAAGGGGTATACAAATACAGTAAATAAAATAAATAAATACCCTTTCCCCAAATGCTATCATTGGGTGTGGCTACACTGTTGAATTAATGCAGATTGACACCACTAACTGCCATGACTCAGTGCTATTGAATCCTGGGAGTTGTGGTTTTACAAAGCCTTCTCTGCCAAAGAGTACAGGTCCCCCCCCCCCACCCCACAATAGCTCAATATTGTGGAATCAGTTCCCATGATTCCACAATATTGAGCTATGGCAGTTAAAATGGTGTCAAACTGCATTTATTCTGCATTACTAGCCATGTCACTATAAGAGTTGCTCTAGAATTTATCAGTTTGGCACAAAAAAGCCAGACATGTTTGTGCAAGTAATCCATGAAAGAGATGAGGTTGAGAAAGAGTTTATGATTCCTCAGGAAATCATCTGCACCTCAGAGAGGTTGAGAGACAGACTATATAAAATACATTCAGAACATGGAGATTTTCATGCTGGAAAAGGGAACAATGCTCAGCACAAGAAGAGCGCCTCAGTTAGAAAGTTGGAGTGACCTCAAAAAGTCTTTCCCCCTCTCTGTGCATACTTTACTGTTCTCCTTTGTGACTTAGACTACTATTCTCAGGGTTTTCTCCACTTCTCCTCCCTTCTCACTCTCTTTTGTATGGGAGTTGTCGTAATAAAATTGCCATATATACTCAAGTATAAGCCGAGGCACCCAATTTTACAACAAGAAACTGGGAAAACGTATTGACTTGAGATAAGCTGAGGGTTAGAAATGCAGCAGCTACTTAATGCAGCTCAATAAAACTGCATTAATTGAGGCATTAGTAAATAAAATGCTTTTGAATATTTACATAAAACTGTAATTCAAGATAACACTGTCCAACTCTAATTAAACCATTATTGTTGTGATATTGCCTTTATTGTAAATTGTTTTTATATGTTGTACACCGCCGTGAGTCGCCCTAGGGCTGAGAACGGCGGTCTACAAGTGCAGTAATAAATAAATAAATAAATAAATATTATTCTAACCTCCTTCAATGTAAATGTGCTTACCTATCTTTCCAACAATAATGGAGTAAAATAATAAATGTAATAATAATAGAGGAAAATAATGGAAATGTAATAACAGTAATAATTTAAAATAATAAACGTAATAAAACAATAATAGAATAAAATAATTTAAATGTAATAATAATAATAAAAAATAGAGTAACATAATATAACAACAACAACAACAACAACAACAACAGAGAAAAACGATAAATAACTTTGACTCGAGTATAAGTTGAGGGGGCCTTTTTAGCCAAAAAAAAAGGACCAAAAAACTTGGCTTATACTAAAATATATACGGTACTTTTGATTTTTAATTCCTTGGTGTACCTTTCCTCCTTAACATCCTAAATGCCACAGATACATACACTGCACCATCTGTGCTCTAACATTTCACTCCTTTAAAAACCATTTGAAACATGCTCTCATTTCACATCCTTCACCAGAATAAACGAGCCTACCTCCAGGCAGTCTTCTAACCCTAGCCTTTGTCAGAGGAAAATTATTAAGGTCCAATATTACAAGATCTACTCACATACCTCATTCCGCAATTTCTCGTGCATGACTGCGAGATGCTCTTCCATTCCGGGGTCGTCCCTGTCTGGAGAACTGACTGGAGAGGGGGCTCCAGTAGTGGCTCTGAAGGGCGCAAGGGGACCCAGGGCAACCTCAGGGGCCTGGTAAGGAGACCGGTATTGCCAGCCATGAAAAAGGTTGTGCAGAGAGTCCAAAGAGGCACCGTCCAGCCCTTCACTGTCTTTCACCACAATGTCATCCTCCTGCCTCCCATTCACCAGGGTGATGGCATCCCCCAGGCCTTCAGGAGGGGACAGCAAAGGGGGACGGGAAAGGCCTCGGGTTTCCAGGCTGTGCGTTGGTGGGCCAAGGCTGGTCTTGACTTCAGGAGAGCTGACAATGGCAAAGTTGTTGGCGGACGGCATGGACAGAACCGGAAAAATGCTGGGAGACTTTGATGGTTTCTTCTTGACGGACAGGGAGGGAAATGCCGGCCGTACAGAGCTGGGAGGAACAAGCCCTGGAGGTAGTTTATCCCAAGAGGCATCGAGCTCCTAGAAAGGAACAAAGAAAGGAGGCATTTGAGGACAGTGAATCCAAGACTTCCCAAGCACAGCTGAATCTGCCCTTGGAACTTCTGAGAAAGGGAAGACTCAGCCTGTACAAATGCCCAGCTTATCCTTAAAAGAGTAAAAAAGTAGTTTACCCTGTGCAATACACACCAATGAAACAATTCTCTCTTTAGTTGGAGCAGGATTTTAATTTTTACTACAGTTCACATTTGTTGGGAGTTAGCCATAGAACTACATTGGAGGACCTAAATTTATCAGTAACTCAGGGCAAGACTATATGCTTCAGCATTAGAGTTGGGCCCAAAAACTGGTAACAAAAGTATTTGTAGTTTTTGGAGGGTCAAAGTTATTTCCTCTTCCAGAGAGGACCCTTAGAACTTGCTGTGACAATAGCATAGGGTGACTACTGAAAGTTCCTCTCAGACCATGATGGGAATTGAAGTTTCTCTCTGTTTCTTTCAGCCAATAAAATGGCTGGGGTGTCCATGCTCAGACTGGCTGAGAATTGATACAACCGGCATCTACAATTCCCAGAATCCTCTCTTGCAGTTTGTCTTGCTTTTTAAAAAAGTTATGTCTAAAACTTAAAATAATTCTAAAAAATCACTAGATTGGTTAATTGTTTTGAAACTTGGCAGGCCTGCAGTCGTAAATGGGGTCTACAACTGAAGCAGTTTTTATGCAGATAGGCCTTAAAATGGCTGAGGATTTAGCCTCTAAAGTTTTCCATTGTAGCCAATGGGCCGAATCTCTGCCAAATAAAACAGTAAACACCTCTCTCCTTTCAAAATCATCAAAATCATCCGGGCGTCCCCTGGGCAACGTCCTTGCAGATGGCCAATTCTCTCACACCAGAAGCAACTTGGTTTCTCAAGTCACTCCTGACACGATAAAAAAAAAACACCTCTCTCCTTTGGGGTAATTTTCTGGTAAATGAAATGAGTGGTCAGATGAAAACGAACCCGCAAACGGTATGCTATTTGGCACATGACTATTCAGCATAGCAATGATCTGAATCCAGATATTTATGCTACAACGAGAGATTGTACGACTGAGGCCAAAACCAGAAAATCTTATTTATTTAGATCATATATGCCACCTCAAAACACAAAATCCCAATAAATTATTCCATCACTACAGTCCACTCTTCGCATCTGCTAGGATTAGAGATGACAATGAAAAACTGCAAATAAATTGCTATTCTTTTACCTGAGAGAACAGCTTTCTAGGAACTTCTGGGTCTTTCAACATGACCTTCTGCTTGAAGCCGGCCAGAGAATTACATTGGAGGACCTAGAGATTCCTAAAGAAGTGTTCTCTCTTCAAATCTCTACCCGCTCCAGCATGACTGAAGGAAGTTGATCAAAGTCACACCAGAGAGAAAACCCAGAGATTTCTAGAAATAACCTTTTAATCAAATCCACGAATAATCAAATCTGCAAAAGTCAAAACTGCAAATGTGGAGACCGACTAAAGTTTTTTTTAATGGGTCATTAATCATTTCCAAATTAATGGATCTAGACACAGGGAAACTGACATATCTCTCATTCCCCATGCTGAGTAAGGTCTTGTTTCTCTCCCTGAGACTAGATTAGTATTTCGTGAAGGAACAGCTGTTGCATATATTGTGCATACCCCAGTGCCCTATTAGTTAGCATCAGAGCTTATGAAAAGAGAGTAAGCCACTGGCAGCTTTCTCAGCCTTCAGCACACAGTCGATGCAAAACAGACATCTGGCAACAATATTTGGGGCAGAACCCAAGCATCCTGATATTGGAAGATTTATCGTTCTCATAGATGTATGGCCACTCTTGAAAAGGCATGGAGATAATTTAATAAAAATTGACTAATGAGAAAGAATTTCCTGTTGTCAAAGAAGGGCCTTTCATATTACTCAATTGCAATGCTTTCCTACTGCCACAGCTACATCCTATGAAATCCTGACATTTGTAGCTTCATGAACAATTGAGATTTTTCTACCAGGAGCTCTAAAAACATCAACCACCTTGATGGACAGGACTATGAATGACTATTAGAACTATAATTCACAATTGCTGGATATTCTGACTATAGGAATTGGCTGCTCAAATGCTTTTAATGCCTTTTAAAATACTTTTAGAGGGGAAATAGTTATTTGTTGTAATAAGTAATATGTGATTATTGTCTGTATTATGTTATTATGATATTACTATAATAGTTTTATTCGCTGTAAGCCGCCCCAAGTCCCTTCAGGGAGAGGGGGTGGGATACAAATAAAGATTATTATTAGTAGTAGTAGTGGTAGTAGTAGTATTGTCAAACTATAAATCCCTGGCCAAAAGCGAGGAGGAGCTGAGGAGCCTTCTAATCAAGGTGAAAGAAGAAAGTGCAAAAGCCGGGTTGCAGCTAAACATAAAAAAAACCCAAGATTATGGCAACAAGAATGATTGACAACTGGGAAATAGAGGGAGAAAACGTGGAGGCCGTGACAGACTTTGTATTTCTAGGTGCAAAGATTATCGCAGACTGCAGCCAGGAAATCAGGAGACGCTTTCTTCTTGGGAGGAGAGCAATGTCCAATCTTGATAAAATAGTGAAGAATAGAGACATCACACTGGCAACAAAGATCTGCATAGTTAAAGCAATGGTATTCCCCATAGTAACCTATGGATTTATTTATTTTTGTCGTGTCAGGAGCGACTTGACTTGAGAAACTGCAAGTCACTTCTGGTGTGAGAGAATTGGCTGTCTGCAAGGACGTTGCCCAGGGGGAGGCCTGGATTACTTATGATGTTTTATCATCTTTGTGGGAGGCTTCTCTCATGTCCCCGCATGAGGAGCTGGAGCTGATAGAGGGAGCTCATCCGCCTCTCCCTGGATTCGAACCTGCGACCTGTCGGTCTTCAGTCCTGCTGGCACAGGGGTTTAACCCACTGCACCACCAGGGGCTCCAACCTACGGATGTGAGAGCTGGACCATAAGGAAGACTGAGCGAAGGAAGATAGATGCTTTGAACTGTGGTGCTGGAGGAAAGTTCTGAGAGTGCCTTGGACTACGAGAAGATCCAACCAGTCCATACTT